CACGCGGCTTTCGATGGTCTCCTCGCCACTCGTCTCACCTTCGTCAGTCCGCTGGCTCTGGCTTTGACTTCGACTACGGCGAACCTGTTCTTCACTCAGCCTCGCTGCGCGTTCGGCAGCGTTCTTCCTAATCTGTGCCCATCGATCTTGAGATGGTGATTGTTGCTTTGTGAACTCGACGGATTCTTCCGAGATGTCATCCGCATATTCTGGGGCACGCTGGGTCGGGGTTCTAGGGTTCGTCTGTTGCATCTGTCGACGAGGTACAGTTGGGGCAGCAGCGGCATCGTCATCACTCTCGTCGTCGGCAGGGGCAAAAGCAGGCATGTCTTCCATCGGGCCTTGGTCGAATCGTGAGAAGGCCTGGTCGATCTCTTGTTGTGTTGCTGGTCCACCAGCCACAGGACCGCCAGCTTGATTTGGCTCCACAATACCGGACGAAGCCGCAGGGCTAGGCTCGTGTTGTGGCGATGGCGCCCGTATAGGCTCGGGTTGATCATCAGTGTAGGTTGGCGATGGCTCTCGTACATTGGATTGGTGGTCGTCAAGTCGGGAGTTGCTCCGGAGGGCATCAGATGCTTGGAAGTATGAATCATCTGCAGGTGCTGTTGTAGCTACTGCTGCAGGCGTCTCAGTCTTCTTTCTCCCAAATAGCTTCCTAAAACCACCGCCTTCCTTCTTCTTCAACTTGTTTGGTGAGATCTTCTTCCCTGGTGCGGCTCCGTGATCCTCACTGACGCGGCTCTTGGGCTGGGGAGCCACAACTGGTTTCCGTTCAGGCACTGCCTTCCTCAAGGCAGGGTGCTGGTTCGGAGTCGTGCCTGACTGAACAGACTTCTCGTCCGAGATGGGTAGCGGGGTTGCGAAGGGCGTCTCCTCTATGGGAGTGGACTGGTCTTGCGCAACTGGAACAGGGAACGACTGCTGCTGAGGAGTCTGAGTGGGCGAGTCGTTTGGCCAAGGTACCGGAGTCACAGAAGCTTCCGTAGGCTTGGTATCAATACGAGCTGGTGAGCGTGACTCTCCTCTCTCGGACTTTGGTAGCGCGGGAAGATCGCGGTTGGACACCTCTGGAGGTAGTGGCGACGAGCGACCATTAGCAGATGCCATGAGATTGTTCTTTGAGCCTCTGCCGGCACTGACATCTCCCAGGTACTGGGCACGAAGTGCGTCCTTGTCAAGCGCAGCTTCGCCAAACTTCTTGTCCCACTGCATAGCCGGACCAGCCTCGTTCACCAGATGTGGTTGCAGCGTAAGCACACTGTTTGTTTTCACTGATGTGGTATCGTCGGTACGTCCTCGGCGTTGCGCAAATTCCTTTGCGTCTTTTTCGTCCCGCTCATTCTTAGCCAGCTTTGCTGCTGCAGCCTGTATCCTCGCGTGTTGATCTGGTCCAATACTGGTCTTGCTCATGGGTGTGTTGTTAGTTGTCCGGTTGTAGGGCTCTTTCGGGGTGGGCTTCTTGCCGGTCGACTTTCTGCGGCCAAGTCGTCCACGCCTTGTGAAGCTAAATTTGGACTTTTTCTCGGCGATGTAAGCACCTTCCTCAGGACCAGGAGATGCGCCTTTGACTTGCTCTTCCATGACTAGCCACTTTGCGCCTTGGATGCGTGTTTCAATCAACGTGCATCTTCCGAAGGCGGCTTTGCGATCAGTAGTCTCTTCGGAAGCCAGACTAATCATCCATACCCACCAAAAGGTCTCGTCGAGGTCGAACTTAGTTATGCTTGCCAACTCGCCAGGCTCAAGGTCATCTTCGTTAAGACCATTTCGCACATGTGACTGGGAGCTGTGTACACGGTTCTCTCCTAGAGGTGGGAGTTTCTGGTTGGGCATTAACAGAGTAGTCGGGGGAGATTGATTGTTCTCGTCGGCGAAGCCCGAGGACAAAAAGTCCGCCCACGAAGGCGTGGTAGGGCGACCCAAGTCGGTATTGTTGGAGTGAGGCCCCGATCGAAGACTGGAGAACTCTCGTGGGCTCCCTCCTACCGAGGCACCATTTGTACTGCTGGAGCTGTCTATTATGCCTGAAAACCCAAAGTCTTCAAAGCGGGACCATGACGGGTCTGGTGTCGTTGGGTCTGTTGACACTGTCGACTGGTTGGCTGTTGCAATACATTTGAGTACTCTCTGGCACTCATCAGTCAGAGCCTTGACAGTGTCTTCGTAAGCGGAGAACTGTTGCAGCGCTCTGTCGTCGTCGCGGTACTCGAAGTTCTTTGCGCGACGCAGTAAGGCGAACGGTGTAGGCGAAACGGAATCTACGATCATGACAACCTTGGTTGTGCGCGTTTGCATGAGGGTCGGCGTTTGCGGAGGGTATTCGGTCTGGGTAAGTAGCGCTTGGAGAGAACGAGGCAAAGCTGAAATGCCACCAACTACGTTCATATCTGGAGATAGCGATCGCAGGTAGGCGAAGAAGAGATGGCTGGCAGCATCCGCGGCCCTACAGTGAAGTCAGTATGTATTTCACATGTAATGGATGGTAATGCTTACTTCTCCCATGTGCGATAGCCACCATCGAAGCCCTTGCCGTCTTCGACGAACTCAAATGCCCACCATCCGGCTAAACGAGAGAGCTTCCTGCCACCCATACCGTTGCTCTTGCCCCTTGCTGCGACGGAGGACAACAGATCGAAGAAGTCAAATATGATGCGTTTGCGAGCTTCGGAGTCGACGCTGATTGGTATGAAGGTATCGAATGCGTGGCGGGCGAAGTTTGAATCTGTACATGACATCAGCAGCCGTCAGAGGTATGTCCTTGGTGCCAGCTTACCAGACTCGCCGATTCGGAAGAGCTCATAAGCGTCCCAGGTGACGACGCCGCCGGGCAATCTGCTCCAGCACCATTTAATGATGCTGCAGAGCGTCTGTCTACGTCAGCGCATTGCTCGATGTGGGGGTGCAGCTTTGTCGGCCTACCAATGGCTCAGTGAGACGCAGTTCCTGCGCCAGCCCCTCGCCTGAGTATTGCCGCGTGTTCTCGTAGGCGGCCTTGAAAAAGTTGCGTATGAAGTTGCGGGAGGCGCTCGTGTCGGAGGTGGGGCGGAAAGGGAGAAGCATAAAGGGCATGTCCAGGGCTATTGGGAGTCAGCAACGACGATGCAAGTGCCAATTGAGCATTCCCACGTACCCCTCGACTTCATCTCCTGTGTGCAGACGTGGATGAGCTCCTGGATCTCGTCTGGAGCGACATCCTTTCGCGTCCACGACTCCTCCCAGCGAGGTTTTGGCGGCGCGACGGGCTCGGGGGCAGTCTTGGCGCCCTTTTGCTTGTCCTTTGAGTGGAAGACACTCTTGAAGAAAGGCATGTTGGCGTATGGCGGGGTGTCTGGCGGGCGTCCCGTGTGTAATCGCTACCACCTGTAGCGGGTGACGCAGCTGCGCTCTGAGGTGGATGCGCGACGCGGTGGTAGCGCGATGCAGGGACTGGTGCTATTCAATTGCTTTTTCTGCGGATATGCCTGTGGTGTTAGCAGTGTAGGTGTAAAAAGGCACTGCAAAGAGGTTCCAGGGCTCCGGCGGCCGAGAAGGTGAATTGCTGCTGGCGGGAAAGGAGGAGGGCGAGGCAGTTGCCCTCAGGCAGGGCTCCTTAGGGGTCAAGCGAAATAAGGTCCAATCGACGCCCGTCAATCGCCCATCCCTGCCCCCCGCCAAGCCCTCCCTTTACAGCTAGTCGTGGCTCTCCTCTGTGGCACCTGCAGGAGAAAGTGCCTGTGTTTCGTATCTTTGCTTTAGTCGCCAGCACATTGGGGCCCGGGACTCGAAAATCTACGCGGTCAACGGCTGCTTCTGGTGTGCGATTGGTGGGGCTGAATGATGTGTTGTCCCTCTTCGCGTCATCCACCGCGCATCGGACCATGTCATCGTTGACACCGCCTCATATCGCGACCAGTCGCCCTGCCCGCGCTGCTTCATCGCCAGCAGCCCCATCCCAGCGACAAACACCACAAAGCAACACCATACGACGCCTTGTGGGACAGACCCTGCGTAATGCGCCCGCTGCTGATCCGACTAGCTCCCGAACTCCAGGGCCGTTGTCTCGTACGCATGAACCTGACTCCACTGTAAATCTAATACTCATGATGCTATGACTGAGGCTGGAAAGAAGCACTGCACGAGCTGGGCCCGTTCCCGAGACGCAGATACCCGTCTTGTGGCCGCTGGTAGTGGAATGCATCACATTTCAAATGGCTCCTACTGCCATCTCCTGTTGCCATCTCCTGTCACATGTTAGAAGTTCGCTTCAACGTTGACAACAGTGTACAGTTTGTCTTGATACAACAGCAGTCCTGCAGGAGCCATGATGTTTTCATGCTCACGTCAATAGCCGTCGTCTTATCGCGTGAATGCTTTTTGGTTCGCGGAGAGACGCGTGAGAGACGTGCGTAATTTCCTGCAAACCCCCACTGGCGGTACTTCGGCGTATCTTGAAACGGCAGAACAAAGTCAACTTGCCTTCACTCCCGCCCTCGTTCTGGCCAGACACCATAGTCCAATACTCGCAACCACGGGAGCTCGATAAACAAGAGCGCTGAAGCTGTATGGTTTTCCGGATTCATGCTTCATGCTGCCGTTTGCCTGTAAAGGTGAATCATCGGCAGTATTTCCATCGGGGGCACACTGTAAATTCAGATCGACAATTGTTGCACCGCGAAAGACACCGTCTCGACACTTCCTGATGCAGATGAATGCTCACATGGTGTCTTAGAAATTATGCATTTGCCAAGCGTACAAGCACGTGTTTTCGATCTGTTTTCGTGATCTGCGCTAGCAAAAGGGTCTAATTCCGTTCTGGCTTAGGTCCGTAGCTCCCGAATTGCTGTCTCTCGTTGACATGTTGTCAGCTGTGCCCTGAGCGCACACCCAAAAGCAAGTCACAGTGACACCAATCAGCGCCATTGCTGTAGCCAGCCATTTCTCAAGTCGTCCTCGCACGTTCTGAGTAGTCTATTTTCATCCATCCCGCCCCCACTTGTGGGCTGTAAACAATTTCCGCCATGCCAGCCCAAACAACATGTCCAATACCCGAAGTAGACCGCGCACTGTCGTCATACATCAACAGCCGGGAAGACACATTGAGGATCCGACGAACGCTCTCGAAGTACCTCACATCAAGCCTGAGGCCTGTCAATGCAGCAACTCAGAACCAGCATCTGAATCATGAATGTCCTCAGAACCTCTCCGCAGCCAATACCAACCCTCCAGGCTTGAAGGACGTTCGTCTGGAATATTTGCAGGCTCTTCGGGCTAGATCGCAGGCGCAAGCCAGACATCGTGAACTCCAGGCATCGTTGGAGGATTTACGCAATCGTTATGTGGACGAGAACCCGACGCAGCCAGAGTTAGAATACGACAATGAGGTTACTCGAGGCTACGTCTCTTTATTGCGACAGCGCAGACGGTTTGCAGAGCTTCAGGTCATTCAAGAGTCTCTAGACAAGCTTCTGACCGCAAAGCCTTTGACTGTTGCAGCTGACCCTAGGGCTTCCATCAAGAGCGCCATTGGTGAGCAACCAGATTTACCTGCCGAGAGGTTCGAGCAGCTAGCACAGGCTGAAGAAGACCAGACATGGGTCTTCAAGCTGAAGCAGGAGGTTCTTGAGGCGCGAACAGCTATGGAGCGTGCCCAAGCCGCAAGGAAGAAGGCCCAGGACGAGCTTCAGGTTGAGCCAAGCTTGCAGGTGCAAGTTCATGCACTCGAGCGAGCGAGAGATGAACTCGTCGACTGGGTTCAAGGAGAGCTGGCTAAGATGGAGGAAAACAGTGTCTTCCTCGAGGACGCCTCGCCCATCAAGCGCCCAGTGAACGCCGTAGCACCCGTCGATCTTGCATCAGCAGAATCGCAGATACGGGAATCATACAACAAGTACATTGAAGCTCGTGCTGGCTTACTTGAAGCTCATGCAAGCCTTCAGCAGCCATTGGACGTACAGACTGAGAACCAGAATGGCGGTCAATCCATTCCCTCCGAAGACAGCAACGCCACAACGACGAAGCCTGTTCGACCGATTACCAAGCTCTTGCCCTGTCTCCCACACCTTGCAAAAATAGCCAATAATGAGCGATCTCTACTCCAGCAATCTGTATACCTCCAAAATCAGATGGCATCCGCAAACCAGGACATGGAGGAAGCGCTTCTCCGGCTCTCTGGCGAAAGCCATCTATTACCCGCTGGCTCCAAGGATGTAGCGATATGGGGAAAGATGGCGCGAGAAGCGGAGGCGGTTACGGAAGAATTTGTGAAAGAGCGCTTACAGGCTAGCCGGCAAGAAGTGGGAAGTGTGAGCACGATTGTGGAACTTTGCTCACTGCAGAGTCAGGTCCTGGAATCGGCTTAGAAAGCAAATGTGAAAATTACATCCACTGAAAGGCTGAAATCACAGTTTTTTGAAGGATGATTGGAGCGCTCTAAAGCCAAGTACTTCGCGCGAGTTGAGTCAGGATCCCTCTTTGCGCTTGTAGAGGTGAAGGGTACTGCGGCCTTTCGTGCCAGAATTGACGGGGGATGCACCATCAGTAAAATTGAGTTTGATAGAGCATTCTGTCGCGAAATATGGTATCTCTAGACTCCAACTCGTATCATTCGAGGCGTTTTGCATGCGTTTGAAATTTGTTGATATTACCACGTTAATTTCAAAGTACCCGGACAGCAAGCTATGAAAGGTCATCTTGCAGACGGGTCAAAGACGTCTCACAGTAACCCTACACCCGCGACTGCCGAATTCACCTGATCACCCTACATGGACTTGAACGGTTCCCTACCGCAGTAAAGGACAGTACACATGGTAGGGCCTAGGCTTCTGAAGAAACGCTATGACGGACTGTGACCCTTCATAGTTTAGTAGTGTAAACTCAGTTGAAACGACGCACTCAATTTTTCCCTTTTGCCGTCTCTCCCAGCCGAGATAATGACAAGATATTTGGATGTGCCATTAGCTACCAACACGGACACATACGATATAACTTGAGCGACCACTCAGTTCAGGACGAAACAACGATAGGAAAATTGGTTCAGCAATGGAAAGGCTGCTCAGAAGAGCTTATCAACAGAGTGTGATTGGATCTCGAATGGGCGCGTAGTTCCCGTTTTCTTGCTCACGCCATTATCCTTGTTTGAAGAAGGCACAATATTCGGGAAATCTACGCATCCAAAAAGCACTCCAACATAGGTAACCTCAGCTGAGTACAGAAAGTGGTTCCAATATTGGTTTCTCATGACATGTTTGTTAGCCATTGTGTAGAGACGAGAACGAGTTTTGAACGAATCCCGTCAAGTAAATTCGAGTAGCGCAAGATATTCATGTGTGCTTTCATCTTGCGTATCTCGTCTGCTTGGCTCAATCTGGGTATGCATGGTAGCAATTTAAGCGCACATCACCTGTGCAGCCACACTTGCCGAGAACACTATAAACGCCTCTATCCTACATTAAACAAGTGATGCATGACCAGAGTGGCTTGTTGTATATATCTTCCTGATTACTACAATGTCGTCTATGATCGTTCGCAACGCAGCTTCCCATCTCAACTTGCCCAGAATGCATCTCCTTGTAGCTCTTTCCATCCTCGCTACTACAGCGCAGGCTCATTGCAAGTTCACCATAGCCTGTTTGAAGGCGTTGAGCTAACAGTTGCAAGATCGCTTTCCCAAGCTCATTCTTAATGGCGTTACTGAGGCGACGGAATGGACATCCATTCGGCAAACCAAGAACTACCAAACGAATTCGGGTGTTACCTCCGTTACTAGCCCTGATATGCGCTGCTTCCAGAATCGCCCTGGGACAGGTACTGCAACTGTGGCTGCCGGCGATACGTTAGGCTTCGTTGCCGCAGCTTCCATCTCGCACTTCGGACCGGTGCAATTCTACATGGCAAAAGTACCCGATAGTGCGGATATCAATACGTGGGAGGCAGCGGGGAACGTATGGTTCAAGGCAGCGAGTATAAGCGCAGTGGGGAGTCCGTTGACTAGTGGGGAGAGCACATGGCCCGCATATCGTCAGTTGATCCGCACGCGTTATCCTTTCCGCCCTGCATAACTGATGCTAGACCAGAGAAATCGCAAGTTGAGTTCCAGATTCCAAAGAACGTGCCGAGCGGCAAGTATCTTGTTCGTGTAGAGTCAATCGCACTCCACCAAGCTTCTTCGGTCGGTGGTGCGCAGATGTATCTTTCGTGCGCACAGGTAGAGGTTATTGGTGGTGGAAGTGGTAAGCCTGGACCTTTGGTAGCGTTTCCGGGTGCATATAACGCCAACGATCCTGGTCTGAGGTGGTCGTACTATCCGATCGCGACGAGTTATACTGCTCCGGGACCTGCTGTGTGGAATGGCAACTGAGCTGCTTTGGAGCTGGTAGAGATGACGGTCCGCGCTAGTTATGTCGATTCAGAAGCTGGAGGTATATCTGTTGCACCATCTCTTTCTTACAGAGTCCGTATTTTTTCAAGAACAAGCACCTAGCTGGCGTTCTTTCTGCTCGGTCCTACCGGGTTCATGCCATGGAATCTTCTCACACCAAGTACCGCTCCATTCTCAACTTCTCCGCTTCCTCTTTCTTATTGAGTACAAAGGCGACCTCAGACCCAGCAGCAACTACAACAGTTGCTACCATACCGATGCCAGCTCCGATAGCCGCGAAGCCCAGGATCGTGAAACAAGTGTATCCAGTGAAAATAGTCAAGTACATGACACGGAAGAAAAGCAAGAAGAGGTCGTCTGATCGGGGCTTCATCGCATCCAGCTGAGATGCATAGTCGATACTCTGGAGCAATCAAGATATGGTATCTGTAGACGTTGCTATTTTGATCGTCGCAAGGCTGGGTTTCCGCTTTCGGTCTTCGAATACGAGGTGATGTTTGACGCTGATCTTAGTTGGACAGCACGGCCATGAAATTGTGGAGATGCGATTCCGCGCCAACCGAGCGATCGAGTGCATGAAGGGAAGAGAAGGGCATCGTACCACAACAAGTGATTTGTAGATAATACAATCTGACAAGGTGAAGCGTAGTTCAAGCCACGTGAACTGGCGTTCAGCTTGCAGCGTTGGCCGCGTCAGCCTCTCGGCGATTGGCCCTTGACGTCGTGTCCTCATGCCAATACTGCACAGTTCAGCGTACCATCATACTACCTTTCTGTTTATAGCAACAGCTGTGCAGGCGAAGACTCGTGCAGGAGGGAACAGACATGACGGAGGCGCCCCTGAAGGTTTCTAGACCGACGACAGAAAGCAGGGAAACAATACTTGAAGCAATGCAAGAATATTCGGATATGACGTTATAAGGGTTCTGCATAACTGTGAGGGGGTTTGACTGCTTAGGAATGACTTTTCAAAGTCCCAACCTTGAATGACTTTGCGGACACAAGCGCGTTCGCTGATGTAATCGCCCTACCAACCCGCTGGCAAGCCCCCACAGACCAGACGTGTGCATTGGGAGAGGATATCTGATTTGCCGCTATGGGATTCGGAGGGCAAGCAATCATGTCTCTGTACCAAGGACGCTGCCAATCGTACGAGGACGTAGTGATGGTGAACATGTCGGCACCTTGATATCGCGCATCTGCACGTGTTGACGCGTTTGTCTTGGCACGCGTTAAGCCGCTCAATCGCCACTGGTTCATCTGCACATTCTCAGGCACAAGAGCAGCGCAAACCTCACCAGTTATGCTCAAATAATTTCTCAATGTTCAGAAACCCTCGAGAAAACCAGTCCTTGCCGGAAGAATCTCGATTGACCCCCTCCACCGGCCGGCCTCCCTCGCCACCCCGCTCGTCCTCAGCAGCAGGAATGGCTTCCAAGACGGCAACGAAGAAGGTCGCGCCAAAGCCAAACACGAAAGCCCTTCCACCGAAGAAGGCCATTGTGCAAACTACTCTCACACCAGCCGACTTTGCCAAGAAGTCGCCCGCCGGCAATGGCAAGAAGCAGAAGCCGGCAGGCACGCCAAATGGCAACATCATGGCCTTCTTCAAGAAGGCCGAGGAGATCAACAGCCGCATATTCTTGCAAGAACGGGGGTCAAATCCAACTATTGTGTTCGACGGCGACGAGGACGACGTGGGTTGGAGTGACGAGAGAAGCAATGGCGTCATGACTACCGACAACGATGAGGAGCGCTACAATGAGAATGGCGGGAGCGTCAAGAGGCGAAAAGTCAGCGAAGAGGCGGTAGCACTTGTGCCGGCCTGTTCGCCACCTCCACCCACTGATGTAGAAAGCAATACTCTGGACGCGTTGGCAGCTGATGTTCCCAAGCAGGCGTCAAAGCCGCGGAAGAAGTCTGGACCCTTCGTGGACGACTCAGAATCCGAAGACGACAATGTAGAAGTACCTGCAACAACTTCAGGTATGGCCATACGAGGACAAAATGACGATTCGCCAATTGCTAAACCAACCGAGGGTCGGTTACCCGCAGATAGTATTGAAGACCACATCCCCCGCGAACTCCCACCGCTGAAGTCCGAATCCACGTCTCAAAACGGCGACGAAGCGCTAGACGAATATGAAGATCTTGAAGACGACGATTTGCTCGAAGGCGAAGAATACGATGAGAGGCGATGGATGAAGGAACAACAGAAGTTGGAGATGGAGGAAGCAGGCTTTGAGGGCGATCCTGACGAATTCGACGCTCCGCCTCTGTTTCCAGAAAGCGGTACCTCCGAACCCAAACAGGAAGAGCCAAATGCCAGAGATATACCCTCATGTCCAATATGCGGCAACGATCTACCAGGCCTGTCAGAACAGGATGTATCTGTGCACGTCAACGCATGCTTAGATGGCAACCCAATCCCGTTGCCTGTAGCAAAGCCCAAAGAAGAGAACAGGCTGACTACAACGAGCAAAGCAAAGGCATTCAAAAGACCAGATAGGCCAGCCAAACCGGGTCAGGCAAACCCATTTCAACTTGCGAAGCCCAGCACCCAGCCAAGTTCGGCTTTCTCGAAACTTATGGCAGGTCACGCTGAAGACGCAGCATGGGCGTCCGCTGCGGCGGAGAACAACAAATCCCGCGGCAAGCCCGCATACCAACGCACCTGTCCATTTTACAAAATCATGCCAGGTTTCTTCATTGCTGTGGACGCATTTCGCTATGGGGCCGTCAAAGGTCAGAACGCGTACTTCCTCAGTCACTTCCACAGCGATCACTACATCGGACTTACTTCGTCATGGAAACACGGGCCGATATACTGCAGCAAAGTCACTGGCAACCTGGTACGCCAGCAGCTTCGGGTAGATCCCAAATGGGTAGTTGATCTGGACTTTGAAAAGAAGACAGAAGTGCCAGGAACTGAAGGGGTTCATGTCACGATGATCTCCGCAAACCATTGCCCGGGTAGTTCTTTGTTCCTGTTTGAGAAAGAGCTGAGCAAGGGCAAGAGCTCAAGACTACAGCGAGTCCTACACTGTGGAGACTTCCGTGCGTGTCAGGAACACATTGAACATCCACTATTGCGACCAGACGTTTTGGACGCTGTGAGTGGAAAGAACCGACAACAGAAGCTTGACGCCTGCTACCTCGATACCACCTACCTCAACCCCAAATATGCTTTCCCACCTCAGAAGCAAGTTATCCAGGCTTGCGCAGACATGTGCGTTAGCCTCAGCAAAAGCCGCGCGGACGACTCCGATGGATGGGAGAGAATGAAAAGAGAACGCGCGGGCCAAGGTATGGTTCAGTTCGTTCGAAAGGATGCCAGTATAGATAATGCGGGCGAACCTAAAAGTCCGGAACGAGGCCGACTCCTCGTTGTCGTGGGCACATACAGCATCGGGAAAGAGCGCATATGCACTGGCATTGCAAAGGCCCTAGGGAGCAAGATTTTTGCGCCTGCTAACAAACAACGCATTTGCAAGGCTCTCGAGGACCCCGAACTGGACGCACTGCTTACGACGGATCCTCGCGCAGCCCAAGTACACATGACTCCACTGTTCGAGATCCGAGCGGAGACTTTAGACGATTATCTGCGCGAATATGCTGACACGTTTTCGCGCGTTGTCGGTTTCAGACCCTCGGGTTGGAACTATCGTCCACCAAAGGGCCGCTTTACTGAATCGCCTCAAGTACAGACTGTACTGCATTCTGATAACTGGAAAAGTACTTTTGCTATGAAAGACCTCACGCCCCAAGCCGGCAGTGGAAGTCGGGCAAGCTGCTTCGGTGTGCCGTACAGTGAGCATAGCAGCTTCAGAGAGTTGACCATGTTTTGCTGCGCTTTGCATATCGACAAGATCATTCCAACGGTCAATGTGGGTAGCGCAAAGAGTAGAGAGAAGATGAAAGCTTGGTGCGACAGGTGGGCAGCAGACAAGAAAAAGAACGGGCTGTTCAAGCTAGGCGAGCACGGCCAGGGCTGGTCATAACGACACTCCATTGCCATAAGCGGAATTCAGTTTATAGAATTTGTTGTTCGCTAAATCTCACATCTGTCGTGGTATGGATGCCACTTCGCCCATCACGCGCGTCAGAAGAAGCCACTACGAACTACTGCAGATGTGAAGATACAAAGTCGGTGTACGTCTCGTATGTATTTCGTACAGGCGCAACTTAACTACCAGCATTTTCAACTTCACTAGTTTTCCACTCATAACCAGTCATCGGGATCCGAGCGCTACTCGAAACATGGGAGCCAGTACTTCCCTAATCTGTTTTGGAACAGAAGCGGAAGCACTTTGAACATTTTCGCTGCCTGTCGAGCTAGGCACCGTGGAAATCCATCAAGGAGCGAGTACCTGTCCATTCATTCGTCGTCAGACGATTCCCAATAGCACTCTGAACAGAGATGATGGAAGTCAAGAGTGCCTACGCTCGGATTGTGCATGAGTGCTCACTCTAGATTTTAGGTGGCGCGGAATACTGTGATACTTTTAGAACAAGTTGTGGTAGAATCCTGGGTGGGCAGAGTCTTGAATGTGGCAGAGGAAAGATGAGATGGATGACTGCGTCATGTACAGCAGTTAGATTGCTACATGCAAAGGAATGTGACTACAATCATACTGGTTGTACATGAGATGGAAGCTGATGGGATCCAACGCAGGGGATTCAAGATAAAACGAAACGTGGCCAATATTACCGAAGCGGTGCAACGCAAAGACTGCGACATCACGCCAGAAAACTTACGCGGTTATACATCCTTCATGCGGAAAGAGTACCATTGAACACCTGAATACAATTCGGCCCTTAGTAAGCCTCATGCGGTAGCGCTGACCGTACGAGCTGTCGTCGCGTCCACCTCGACGGCCTTGGCCACCAGCTCTTTCTCTTTCTTCAACTTCTCTTGTATAGCCTGGTAGTTCCGACTCATAGCATTTCTGGTAAACTCCTCTCCTGTTACCACTGGATACTTCTTCAGCGGACCTTGGATCTTAGCGTCTTTGCACGGTTGGTTAAAAAAGGCGATACTATAGCGCTCGCCATAATAGTCGTCGGGCTCACACGGAGCCTTAACGCGATGGAATGTGGATTTGAAGCGGTCGTCAGACCATGACATGAGCAAGTCACCGACGTTGCAGACTGTATGATGTGGTTAGAGTGCTCGTATTAAGTGTCGATACAATTAACATACCGATCGCGTTCTTCTCAGCGTCAGGCTCAACCTTTGTCCAAGCGTCTCCGTAGCCAAACGATGTCGAAACTTCCCGTCCTGGACATATCTCGAGGCCAGACTGCCCTGCCTTCTGGAACAGTAAGGTCAAAAAATCCCAGTCAGCATGCGCACCTGCTCTGTGATGCACTTCCCCAGTGGGATTCGGTAACCGCGGAGTTTCAAAATAGTGTAGTAATCGGCACACCGTCTGAGACTCTGGCCTTCTGACATCATGTGCTTCGATAAAGTAGTCGTCTTCAAAACCCAATCCTCGCGCAAAGCACCTCATGAGGTTCTCGCTGACCGCTTGTACTTTGTGCATGAATGCCAGGGCCTCCGCCTGGAAGCCAGGCAAAGTCTCATCATCTAGCCATCGGCCTGATCATCAATCAGTATGGTTACACATATACCCAAGATGGAGAGAATTGGCCCACCGTTCATGCCTTCGCCAAATTGCATCTGATAAGATTCTTTGCGGTCGACTGCACCAGTCGATGGCCTGATTTGCGCGTTCTTCTCCCATCCAGCATTGTGCTGAGGGGAGAAAGGCACCTGAGACTTTACGGGATCAGCTTGGTTAAAGAAGCGTGCTGACTGGTCAAAGATCCCATCAACAGCATCGCGTGTTATGCCGTGGTCTACGATACAGAAGAATCCATGGTTCTCTGCAGCATCGAGAAGTTCCTGTGTAATCACATCCATCCGAGAGTCGAAGTCGCGGAGAGAGATGGTCGGCACAGGGCGATCAATGTATTTCGTTGGTGCCATGATGAGATGTTGAAGATTCGGGTCGCTTGATGATGGGTCTGATGAGTCTGATGTACGAAACGAGTGTATCATATTGAGGGAAATCCATACCTGCTCTTATGTTCCGCCATTTTTGTGTAAATGCATATGGTGTCGCAGTAAGCCCCGAGGCGTACCAAAGCCGACGTGGCCAGGGCGGCCGCTCGAATCGGCCGTCATCGCCAATGGCTTCATCGTAGTGCTGAGATAGGCGGCTGCTGTTTGTAAGACGGAATGGACGCGGCTGAACTGAAGTGGGGCAACTAAATTGGCGGGGTCCGCATTCTCGGCCGCACCCTGTTCCTTTCTATTTCATATCGCACTACATACCGATGACCAACTGACAGCCGGTGCCTCCTCTGGATGCTAGACACGTGGTTCTGACACTCCGGTTCTCATGAGAACAAGGCGCCCTCGAGTGTAACAACTGACAGGCCGATACGGTCAACCTCACCATGGACGATAGTAACGCCTCGAAAGGGCCGCGACCCCGTTTGACATGTACAGAGTGCTATAGAAGGAAGATTAAATGCGACAAGCACGTACCTTGCAGTACGTGTACCCGAAGGTCAGCGCCTCCGTTCTCAAAACAACCCCGAGCTTTGGCAGTAAAGTGGGCTTGCAAGAGCGTATATTGGATCTTCACTGGGAGCTGGCAAACTGGCTTCTGAGTGCGGCTCTGCCATTCCAATTCATCTCATGCTAAGTAAAACAGGGGTTATGCAAGCTTTTGTACAAGAGAAGATATCACCGTGACATCCTCAGCGCCACCACCTGCATATCAAGCTCAGAGCACGACAATAGGGTCTGACGACCTCGTGCGCGCACTACTCGACCGTGTAAGTCAGCTTGAAGCTAGACTACAGGAGCAATATAACATCGTCTCGAGCGAAACACCGCTACCACCTGCGCAACTGGCTGATAACCCAGCAAGTCCCGCAAATGATGAAGCGATTACTTTATCTACGGACAATAACATCACATCACAATCTGTGGAAACTGGTGATGCAGCTACTGTGCTAGAATTTCTGGCATGGGGCCGTAAGAAGGATGCCGATTATGGAACTTCGCCAGAACATAACAGCGGGCCAAGACGACTGAGTGTCAGACACGAGGATGGAGCGACCACCTCAAATATCCTATGCGAAGCCAGCAGAGATGCACAGCTTGATGTACTCGAATCGCTTCTTCCCGACAAGACTCACATCATACAACTTGTGGAGTACCACAATACCTCCATCTTATGGTACCATGGCTCCTATTCTTCAGCGATGTTCGGAAGTGACCTGGACCTTTTTATGGGTGAATATGAAGGCAACGTTCGACATGAGGACCTGAATCTTCAATGGCTAGGTTTGCTGTTCGCCATCATGACTGGAAGTATTACATGTGCACCATCATCTATCTATCGGTCTTGGGGATTCTCATCGGAGGAGCGCATGGTCTTGTCTCAAAGGTGGTACGAAGCGACCGTGACATGCCTCGAAGTTGCGGGTTATATCGAGACTCATACGATATATTCTGTCCAAGCTATCGCGACTCTGACGATTGCGGCTCACATTCTAGGCAAGTCGAACAGCCAGTCAATACTGCTTGCATCAGCTGGTCGCATCGCTCAAAGCCTCGGTCTACACCGCCTTGGACCAGAGAACGCAGCTGGGGCTACTTCAAAGGAGCAGCTGCGTCAACGTGAGGCCGGTCGACGGGTATTCAATCAGCTTTGCACGCAAGATTGGTTCCAGATTCCGTTCTCTGAGTCATATTCATTGAACCCTCGCTTCTTCAAGACCTCGAAGCCTCTCAATTGCAACGATGAAGATATGGTACCCCTGCCGCTATCTACTCCAACCCAGGCGAGCTATTGTAACTATCGTTATGATATTGCGGCACTTATGCCGCAGCTATTGGATGCAATGACAGGCTGCAACACGCTTTTCACAAAGTATGAGCAGGTGCTGCGGTACGACGAGAAGATGCGCAAGCTTGCTACCGCATGTATGCCTACATTCCTCTCAAACAATGCGCCTGTAGCAACGGGCTGGCCTATTTATGTTGGATGGGCCAGACGCTCATTGGCTATATGCGCCTCGCACAAGATCATCATGGTGAGAGATTCCCTGTACGAACTGTATGTGACATGTACGCTGATTTCACACGCCCATCTTTTAGATACATCGAAAGTTCATTGGGCTCTCATTCTCGAACTCCGCATTCTCATTTACCCGCCGTACCTGCATAGCAGCATCCAAAACCATATTGAAAGAAGCATTATCTGACAACGACCAGGGGCCGACGCTGTGGATTGAGCAAGCTTTCTCCGTCGCAGCGGGGATCATTCTCAGCCTCGATGCATTTCACCGGTCGGCCATTGAAAGGGAATTTGAGGAACACAAAAAACTTGTCGAAGACGCAATCAGCTACTTGAGGACGTTTGAAGACAGCAAGATAGCTTCACGTGGTGTGCAGTTGCTATCTGGCTTGCAGCGTGAACTCCAGGATGGAGGAAGCGTCAACTCCAGGAAGCGCCAACAGCCTGCAGAATTCGGCGAACTGGCTCCCTCGTTTAGCAAGAGAGCACGTACGTTTAACGTGGAAAGCTTTATCAACAACGTATCTAGAGACTTGCAAGTAACAACCCCGACTTCTTCGACCGCAGATGTCCCTGCAAATGTAGGAGATACTTCATGGAATTCCTTCATGAATTTGTTACCACTACAAACTGGGTTCGGGGGACAAAGTCTGTTCGATGATCTGCTTTCATTCCAGTTCTAAGACTATGTATATTTTAATGACATATGATTCCGTGCACCCACACCGCTCCTTTTACGGATGTCTGCTACTGACGCCTTCGCTCTCTGTATGATCTTGCTCTCATCAACGTGCAACAGCTTGCCACTACTGACAAGTAACTGACCGTCTACGATGACTGTGTCGACGTTTGCGCCAGACGAATTGACGAGCACTGTGACTGGGTCCATGCCACCAGCATTTTGCTCGGCCGGATCCCACGGAGTACATGATGCGCCTCTCGGCTCCACAATGACAATATCGGCTTTCTTCCCAACTTCTAGGCTCCCAATCTCAGCTTCCAACCCTAGTGCTCTCGCGCCGTTAATCGTTGCAAACTCTAAGACGTCGTATGCGCTCAGTACGCCAGCGTTTTGTCTAACACCGCCATGTAGAATGGATGCTAAATGCATCTCGCGGAACATATCGTACGTGTTGTTGCATGGCGCTCCGTCGGTCCCTAACGCTACATTCACACCTTTCGCCACCATATCAGGTATCGGCGCCACACCAGATCCAAGCTTGAGATTGCTCGTCGGATTATGCGAAACTGTGCTCTTACTTTCAGACAAGATTTCGAAGTCTCCAGCTACTGGGTCTGGGTGAACACAGTGGGCAAAAACCGTCTTCGAGCCCGTCAGTTGCGCATCTCGGCAGAACTCAAAGGGACTGCATTGGTAATATTCTCGATAGATGGTGAGATCTTTAGGCGCTTCGGCACAGTGCATAGTGAGGCCAATACCGTGTGCTCGTGCGGCTTCGCCTATTGCAGCATGAGCCGCCATTGGTGAGCCTCGAGGTGTGCCTAAAGATCAGTGTATGAAGTCAGTGTTTGTTTCATGTGCTCTTCAAAGAAAGACATCACCTACCGGCCGCAAACCACATGTGCAAACGGTCGTTCAAAGAGCCATGATACTTTTCGTATGCTGATGAAGCAGCAGCGACTGACATAGAGTCTACATCCCGATCTCTGGCATCTTTCATGTTAAGCTTCGGGTTTGACTCAGCGGCCTTGATCAGTTTACCCTGACATTTATGTTAGCTTTACATCATATATATTGTACTGGGAAACTTGCCAGACACGCGCGAATACCACTTTCCTCCACCGCTCTGACGACATTCTCGAGTCCGCTTCTATGTGTAAGCATAGCCTCCAGGAAACACGTCGTCCCCGTTTTCAACATTTCGGCAATAGTCAGCATCGAAGCCACATAACCATCATCCTCGGCGTAATTCGCTTCCAAGGGCCAGATCACATCGCATAGCCAGTTGTGTAATGGAAGATCTTCGGCGAGCCCACGTAGCAGTGATTGCGCGAGGTGTGCGTGGGTGTTAACGAGGCCTGGTATGATGATCCTGTTCTTGCACTCGATAATTTCGATGTCTCGGTCTTTGTTAGAGTTTAGCTGGTCGACGAGGTCAACTGTCTTTCCAAGTGCCGCGATCCGGCCATGTTCGATGAGGATTGCACCGTCCAGAATGACCTCCCGGCTCTTGTTGACCGTGATTATCGTCGCATGCGTAAAGAGACGCGAGGGTAACCTGTCCGCAGCTGTCATGATCATCTCGGCTGACCTATCTTCGATGAAGATATACAGGAGAGAAGCTGCTGTGATTGGGATTCGTAGCCAGACGTGTTAGTTCAGGCTGCTCCAAGGCCCTTACGCTAGCTCAATCTTGTCGATGGATCTCATCATGAGGGCAACTCTGCTAATTACTTCACACTGTGACTACCGTTAACGCTCACACAGCCGCGTCCTTCTAAGGCGTGCTTCATGACTGGAGTGATGGGGACCACCTCCGCCGATCTCCGCTTTCGCACCTTCGCTTGAGTGACATGGGACGGCCGACGCTAGTGATATCTTCACCCTTATCTAGCTCGCCTCCCCTGTCACACAGTGTACACCTCAGTGCATACGGATAATATCGTCGCAGTGTTATCGAAGTCTGAAGAACAGCCGGGCTCCGATGGGCTGGTTATCGCGGGATTCTCGAGCGCAGGAACGCCTATCGTGGTAAAGGCTCTTTGCAGATCTAGAACGACGAGTCAACGACGGCCTAGAGGTTGCTATATAGCCATGCAGTTCCATAATGATATGAATTTACTACCGGCAGTAGATCACCGCACTGAGTGTCAGACCGGGTCAATCAGCAGTGGCCATGGCCCTCGAATCTAATGGCGAGATGGAGCCGAAGTCCAAATACGCAGAAGAAACGGGTCCATACTCCTCAGCAGCGAGCGAAGATATGGGCACAGTGACTGAGAAGTGGCAAGATACACTCACAGAAATCAAATATGCTTTTACAACGAAGGATGGGTGGATTGGCGACTATGTATGCCGATTCTGTACCCTGAGCCTAACATTCAGCAGCTGACAGCTTTAAGGATTATATTTACCTTATCACCCCAAATATTTGGCCACTCAACAGAAAGTACAAAGACTACCAGGCACCATTTTACGGAATGAATGACCGCGTTCCTGTTCTCTTGACCCTGCTCCTCGGCCTTCAACATGCCCTCACCATGATCGGATCCATCGTCTCTCCGCCACTCGCCATCGCTTCGGGAGCGTTCAACTTCGATCCGGCGATGACAACATACCTGGTTTCTACCGCCTTTATAACCACCGGCATCGCGACAGCGCTTCAAGTCACCCGCCTACACATCATGAAGACACCATTCTTTATCGGCACAGGACTCCTTAGTGTTGTAGGACCAACTTTCGATATCTTGCCTATTGTCTTCAACTACGCCGCTCTACGATACAAATCCGGAACTTGTCCTGTTCTCGACGACGGAACTCAGGGGCCTTGCCCCGATGCCTGGGGTGCATGTCTGGGCACTATGCTATGTTGCGTCTGGATCCAGATAGCTCTGGCATTTGTGCCGCCCAAGATGCTCAACAAAGTCTTTCCTAAGCTTATTACTGGCTCCCTCCTCACTCTCATTGGAGTCTATCTTGTCGGTAACGGATTACAGAACTGGGGTGGCTCGTCAAACTGCCATGGCGGAGAGGGCTTCTATGCTCTATGTCCAGATATCACCGCACCACGGCCGCTCGTCTGGGGACATCCAAAGTTGATCGGCCTGGGTTTTAGCGTATTCGCTACTATCATTCTAGTTGAAGCCATCGGTGCGCCACTCATGCGTTCAGCTTCCGTAATCATTGGATTGGCTGTAGGCTGTGCTATATCAGGCGTAACGGGGTACTGGTCAACAGAACAACTCACACAAGCGCCTGGTGGCACTTTCCTCTGGGTACACACGTTCAAACTCTCCGTCGATGGCGCGCTGGTGCTGCCTATGATCATCATGTTCGCGTGTCAGGCTGTGTCTTGCATTCCCGATATCTTGGCCACTGCAGAGCTATCTGGTGTTGACATCGAAGGCACGGAATTCAACAGCAGGATACAAGGCGGTATTCTGTGCGATGGTCTAGGCAGCTTCTTCAGTGCGCTGGGTACGGGGCCGCCAATGGTCAGCCAGGCTGGTAATAACGGCGTCATTGTCCTGACTGGATGTGCATCTCGTCGTGCAGGATGGGCAGCAAGTGGATTCCTGATACTCATGGGAGTCGTCGCGAAGTTCGGTGCTGTCTTCGCTTCTATGCCGCCGTCTGTGCTAGGCGGTATGCAAGTTTTCCTCTACAGCACCATCGCTGTAGCTGGCATTCGTGTCCTCGCGCTCATCCCTTGGACCCGCCGCGATCGCTTCATACTTGCCGTTGCATTAGGAATCGGTTTTATGGATATCTGTCAGCCTGATTGGTTTGCGCAAGTCCTGGCATACGATGGGCCGAATGAGAATCTGGTTGGGTTCGAACAGGGTATAAACCTGGCTGTCGAGACACCCTTTGTCATTGCTGCAATCGTGGGCATATTTTTGAACGCCGTGCTGCTGAAGGATAAGAGCGCCTCGCGAACGGTGGGGTATGGGGATGAACAGAAACATCCAAGAATAGGAGTGCTTGATGATTAGTGAAGTCTTGTCGTTATGGAGTTTCTAAATACACCATCATAATATGACTTCTCTATAGGTCTTCCTATCTGGGATATCTCGGCGCAACTACCACTACGCAGCACCCAATATAGACTGCCCAGGATAATGTTCACATAGGCAAACGGTCACTCTTTACTTGAAGATTTACAAAGTCCGTCCGTAAACATCACGCCACCAGCCTCGCTCTACTTTCTTCTCCAACTGTTCCACCACAACACTCACTCCAGTATCCGCCCAACACACCATCATAATGTCACTGTCCACCTTAGATTCGGCCCTTTCCCGCTTCCTTGCCACACATCCAGCCCCACAACTGTCCATTGCAACGCGCATCTACACCGTGTAAGTTTCATAGTGCCTTCGCGTGGAAGTGGTATGTGGTTTCAACTTCGGCGCGCGGCAGAAATGCGGATACCTGAACACAGCACAGTGTGGGTAACGGCTTAGCCGAACATTTCTGTTGTTGTAAACAGAGAGGCTGGTCTGCGAAGATCAGCGGGCCAGGAAATCTCGGCTGGTTTGCCGAGTTACATCGGGGCGACTGGCTGGTGAACAGAAAGTGGAGAGTGGAGAGAATTGAAATGCGAGTTTTCTTGATGGTGGGTTTCTGATAGTCGATGAAGATGGCGATATTTACTTGGCGCATTAGCCATAGAAAATCCTACGAGAACAAGGCTGCACTGTACTGTAGGAGCATCAGACGACACCGAGACGAACACTGCAGTACTCGTCAAACCGGTCCTTCTTTGCAACCAATTCTCCCGCTTCTTCTCCCGCTCCCCCTGCCCTCTTCATTCTCTTGACCCTGGTTCCGAACGTTGATCATCATGCATTACATGCGTGCCAGACAACGTGTCAAGCGCGCGCAATCGTTTAGATCGGTGAGCGAACTCGTAACAGCCCACTTGGCTCCCTTCCTTCGCACGAGAGAAACATGACTCGCCAAACAAGTCGACGAGACAGCCGCCCTAGTCAGCCAAAGACGTTGGAAGTTGGTCATAGCACATGGATACCAGCTCCTGCTGGGTGGGTTCGTGTTGATGGGAACAAACGGACTGTGGGTAATTCGCTTGGGGAAGCATTACGATGAAACCAGGGGCCAGGGGTTATTCTACTGGGATTTTGGTGGCCGGCGACTGTCTGGCCGAGTTGAGGTTAGTTTGCTATCGTCGTTGCTGTTGTGGCTTATGGAAAGTGCCGTTAGAGTGATGTTTAGAGCATGCACACGCGGCAGAGAAAGTGTGAAAGAAGGTTTGAACGACTGCGACATGCAATAGACTGCAGGTTCACGTTACATGATTGCCTACTGGGCGTTGTGACATGATGCAGTAGCGTACGTTTTTTCCACGCTTTACCCCCCTTCTTCATCGCCCATGTCAGATCCCATAAATCTCTAGCGTCTTCTCCACATCACGAAAAGCGGTTCGTTCGAGCCAAGTGTTGCAGGGGTGTATGGCTAGCAGACCGTGCGTCGACTTATTTTTTCACATGTCGAAAAGATCAGGGGACAAAAACGCTCGAGCATTTTTTACCTCGGGATCTTTCCAGGCTGGTGGGTGGGTGGGCGTGTGCCTCGATATTGGCCTGGAGCCGCGAAACCCGGTTTGAAGAGACCGTAAAATTTATTGCCTGTGATATTGAACATCCAGGTCAAAAGGGTCCCTGTTGCATTCGCGTACTAATGTCGTACGCATGGTGCGGTCCGGGTACCCAAACCGTGTCAAGATCAGCGTTGTCTCCCTCGTCAGCGTCGCATCGCATTGACTTGGTTGGCGATCAGGAACAATAACTAGGCTACTTTATACAAACGGTACGAGCTGCGGGTAGAGGGATGGAAGGTCGAGACGAACGTTGGTGATCCCCACGTGCGACATTGCGATTGGTGCTTTTGTTGTACCGGGCCGGTTGAACGCTCTGGCTTCGTTGAATTAGTAAAGCCGGGTGGCTGGAATGCGTGTGGATGCCTGGTGATCTTGAATGAAAGGCGTATGACGCGCGTATGTTAATGTGCGATCAATTTCTGTGTTAGCATAAGGTAATCTACGGTGTCGGACGGCTCCGGTGGAACTAAAGCAGATAGAATAGATTTAGTGGGGATAGCTGGTGCGCAAATGATGTAACTTGAAGAAGCCAGTATTGACACCTGGGGCTGTGTCTTGGAACAATGGGGCTCTGAACGTATGGTAGTACGATTGGGTAAACTTGAGTGATTGTTGAGGCTATCGCGTGTATGGCATACGAGAAGTGGGTACGATACCCCATACTCTCATGGATGAGGAAGGTCCGAGTATACATTGCGATAATGAAGGACCAGTTTGCTCGCCCAGAGTGTTGTTCCAGTGATAGCATTATGCTAGCTAGATATTGCTAGCGGCGCGTAATCGTCATTGCAGTCGTACTTGCGGATATCGCAAGATCAGTGTATTGTACAGGCGCGCTGGTGTGGGCAGCGCTTTTTGTGGGCTTCCATCTCAAAATGCTGGTGCAGTTGAACTGGTTTTCTAATGCCATCCGTTTTGTCTTCCAAACGGATCCATCTTCATCCACCAAATACAAGACTTGGAC